GTTCGCTTTAGACACGTGGTCCCTAATGTGAACGGATATAGGTCATTTTCTTTAATTGAACTTTTGATATAGTGCTTAGTATATAACTAATTGAAGTTATGTAAACAAATAAGAATCGGGGTATCCTATGATTGGTCACGCTCATATACCATTAGAAGAACGCAATGTAGAACAACCAGTCGAAGAAAAAAAAATTCAGACAATAATGGTACGTTCAAACAGCTGTAAACAAAGTGAAGAAAACACCTTTGAAAAAAATGTTTTTCATGCTCTTCTTTATAGTAATCGATTATTCATAAGGTTTGTTTTCATTTTTTAGATATATAAGAATCCCAATGATGGACATGATGTTGATTTATTAACAATAACCGGTGTTAGACAAAAAACTAATTTATATGTAACATTATTAATTGATATTGTTTTTACACAACAAGAATTATTGCAACTTGATGCAACAAAACTCAAATTTAATGATGGCTATAAATTAATACAAGGTTTGACTAAGAATTATTTTATCTTGTTTGTTTAACACACAAATAATCTCATATATTGCTTATCACATCTCCTTTTTTTAGAAGCTGTACGAAATAAATTTCGATTATCAGATGATATTTTTAAAACTGAATGGTGTAATTTACATGAAATATTTTTAAATAAACGTCGAGATATTAAAAAAGCTTTAGAAAACAACAAACAACGGATCAAACAAATCCAACAACACAAACTTAAAACTTAACATCTTATTTTTTACAAGAACATGTGCATGTTAACATGACTGATGTGATCTGGACTAATTTATTTTTTGTATTTTTGCTTTTCTTATATGATTAATGTGATAAAACCTCTTTGTTACTTTTCTTATTTCTCCATTCTTTTGCTTATTATACGCTTTGAAAATAGAGAATACTGTTTATCGGAGAGATATTCGTATTAGAACAATTGTTAGGTGTTCTTCTCCTGGATTCGATCTTCCGACCTTTCATACGTTGTACTTCTCCAACTACGCATTTTTCCATTGCACTAAATTGTGCAAAAGGAAACTACGAGTTATGATGATACATTCATATGAAGGCCGTACACTTATGTATATATTTAAATAGTCTTTACAAGTGATCACTCACATGTTACTAGCTATACTATACATAAATGTCGACCTTATTTTTAACGTCGACACGAAGTGTACGGCGGGTCCTTTACTAGCGATGCTAGTTATAAAGCACCAAATGATGTATAGCAATCTCTACAAAAACCCCGTTCTAACCGCTCGGGAGAGTTATACATCATCTGGTGCTTTATAACTAGCATCGCTAGTAAAGGACCCGTCGTACACTTCGTGTCGACGTTAAAAATAAGGTCGACATTTATGTATTGGGCATTTATTTTTTTGAAACTGTTTAGCACCCAATTTACAAATTTGACCCGTTTTTGAAAAGGCGAATACCTTATTGGTACGCCTTCTTATGAACAAAGTCTTTCTGCCATCTTTCGAAATGGACTATGTTCACGCTCCTTCTCTCTCATCGATCATCTTTTACCTGTCACTCACTCTTTCTCTGTTATTCATGTATTTTCTCTCTCTCTCGGAGAGGATCTATAATTGAATGATCACTGTCTGTCTTTTCTATTCTTTTTCTCCATGACTTGATGTAAGGTGGACAAGCATTTATTTTTTCTTGAAATTGCCGATACAATATATGTTTCACGTTATTGTTGTATGTGAGAAATGAATTGAACTTAAGTGTAGTCCAAAAAGACATGTCGATAGAGAGAGCATATATTTGTTTGTCGCTGTACTGAACGGGCAACGCGAAATTCGCCGT